GGAAAGGTAGAGATCTGCTCCCAGAACCTATTGCTGCTTCTGAGATACCTGTGTCTGGTGGGAAGACTAGCTGGTGCCTCTGGGGAGGGAGAGTGCCCTTATAATAACAATTCCAATTGGAGGAGGCACACAGAGGGGACACTGGGCACTCTGCTGGGCATTTCACTAAAGCTTTACAGATTATATCACAGTGGCCTTATGAGACAGGTACAATTATTCTCAATTTACAAATAAGAGAGCTGAGCAAAATTTTCATGACCACTAGCAGATCACATTTTCTACTCCAGCTGAAAGTGTAAACAGTGACTTATACATTTAACTGTGCTGCAAATGTTTGAAATCAACCTCTGGAATTCATCCCAGCAACATCAACAATTTGGAAGGGGTCAGGGCAGGAGCCCACTGCAACAAAGTCCAAATGATGCAAGTCCCTGCTTCTGTGTCATTGCTTCATCAGGGAAGCCCTCCACCTTTACCTCCATCCCCACCTGTATTGTTTACTCCAGTCTCAGGATTTGTTCCAATCTTTAGGCCAGACACCCACAGATAATTCAGTTGTCACTTGTAGAACCACGCTGAAAGATAGAAGGAAAGTCTGCCTGGACACAGAAGCTCCCAGAATCCAGAAGATAGTCCAGAAAATGTTGGAAGGTGATGGGTCAGCTGCTTTATCTGTTCACTTTCTGCCAAATCTGTTTACCTTCCAGGAAGGGCAGAATTTTAAAACCTTGACTTTCTAGAATTCTTCTTTTATCCAAGATATCTAGTCTTACTGTATTAAAATTTAGATGTTTCCACTCTGTCTCAAAAATCACATTTTATTCTGAGAAGGGTGGTTAAAATATACAAAGACGATGAAAATAAGCAAGGCTAGTTTCAACATAGTTTGTGGTTCACTCCCTAATTCCTGGCTAACCATTGCACGGTGCTTTGCTCTCTTTATTTGAGAATCTTCTTCCAAACACACTTTTGTTGATTTTTCTTGCTCTCTTCTGCTGTTAGACTAGACATGTCCATGACAATTAACAGATTTTATAATGTTCAGTGATATAAGAACTCACACAGAGCCCAGCATAGAATATTTGCTCAATAAATTTTTGTTCAACTATTTAGGGATGTAATAGAGTTTTCCAGTGTGGTAGGATGTCTTGTTTACAATATTATCTGAAGGTTTTGTCTAAGGTTTATTTTAGCCTTCCAATGCTGAAATAATAAAGTTGTCAAACGTAAGTTTTGTAAGTTGTGATTATTTACTTTAAAGTGACTATACTGGCCACTGGCAGAGTAAAAATATATAATGAAAACATATCAAGATATTCTATAAGGAAACTTTGGTATTTTCTGGAACAACAACAAAAAAGAAAGTTCAAAGAAATTTAAAAACTTGTCCCAATATCGGATTACTTAGTAGGTGGCAGAGTGGGAATTTGGAACTCTGCTCTCAACACTGCACCACACCACTTTTCTCAACTCTTCTTCCTCGAATGACAAGATTACATTACATATAACATAGCATTACTGGCACGCAAAATAGGACCTAATACATAAATAGCATACTTATATGCTGTAATGATTAAAGGAGAAGAAATAAGTTCACCTACTTCAACTGGTACATGGACTTTGTGGAAGTACTCATGTACTAAGCATGTAGTTCACAACTTTTGTGCTATTAAGGAATGCTTTTGTTATCTCCTCACCGTCATAGGCTCAATACCTTAAAGTGTTTTGTCTATAAAGTAAATGTATACATCAAATAATAGGCAAAACTATACATAAATAAACATGTAATAAAGCAGTAAATGGAAATTGCAATTCTCCTTAGTTTTTCTCCAATTATTCAAAGCAGCTCAGGTATCTCACTCATAACTAGTGGTTTACCACTGAAACCTGTCAAGGCCAGCTCCTGAGACATAACACAGTATTGGCACTATGTTTATACTTCATGAGATGCAAGTGTCTCTTATTTTTGTGTGCAGTTATTGAGTTATGCTACTTTGTTGCAGAGAAAGGGTAGTTTAATTGCCACTTGCTGCTGCCTGAATTCCTTTATGCTGCAAATATTGAAATCTGGGGATAAGGTTGTACAAACCCACTATGCTGCTCATTCAATTTAAAACCATCTCTTTTATTTATTCTCTCTGCTGTTGACTTAGAAAGACCTTCAAGCTTCTGTTTCATGAAAATGTATGAATTACAATATGTTCTGCGATGGCCATTGAGTCATATACCGGATGTTTAAAAATATAGTCACATGTTGCCTAACGATGAGGATACGCTCTGCAAAATGCATCACTAGGCAATTGTTTTCATTGTGTAAACATCAAAGAGTGTATTTAAACAAACCTGGTATAGCCAACTATACACCCGGGCCATATGGGATAGCCTGTTGCTCCTAAGCTACAAACCTGTACAGTATGTTACTGTACTGAATACTGCAGGCAATTGTAACACGATGATAGGTACTTGTGTGCCTAAACATGTTTAAACGTTGAAATGGTACAGTAGAAGTATGGTCAAATACAAAATGGTACACCTGTAGAGAGCACTTACCATGAATAGAGCTTGCAGGACTGGAAGTTGCTCTGAGTGAGTCAGTGAGTGAGTGGCGAGTGAATGTGAAGGCCCAGGACATTATTGTCCAATCCTGCAGGCTATAAAAACACTGTACACTTAAGCTACACTAAGTTTATAAAAAGTAGTTTTCTGTATTCAATGATAAATTAACCTTAGCTTACTGTAACATTTTTATTTTATAAATGTGTTACTTTTCTTAAATTTTTGACTGTTTTATAATAATTATATAGAACACAAACACACTGTACTGCTGTACAAATATACTTTTTCTTTTCTATCCTCATTCTATAAGCTTTTTTATTTTTAATTTTTTTGCCTTTTAAACTTTTTTGTTGAAAACTAAGACACAAATATACAAATTTGCCTAAACAAGGTGAGAATCATTGATCACTGTCTTCCACGTTCATTTCTTGTCTCATGGGCAATAACACATATAAAGTGGTCATCTTCTAAGATAACAATGCCTTCTTCTGGAATATTTTCTGAAGGACCTGCTGGAGACTGATTCACAGTTAACTTTTCTTCCATTACTAGTAGAAGGGATTCACTCTAAAATAATGATTGAAACGTATAATATAGTAAATACACAAATAAGAACCTTAGCTGTTTATTATAATTATAAATTTTTATCTACTGTATATAATTCTATGTGCTATACTTTTATGCAATTGGAAGCACAGTAGCTTTGTTTACATCAGCATTACCACAAACACATGAAGAATACATTGGCTTGCTATGATTTTACAACAGCTACGGTGTCACAAAGCAATGGGAATTTTTTACCTCCTCTATAATCTTATGTGATCATCATCATATATACACTCTATTACTGCTGAAAACATTGTTATGTGAAGCATGTAAGTCACAGAGAATTGCTATTGAAGAGATAATTATCAGGTGGGAGAGGCAGACAAGTGAACAAACAATTGCAACCATATGTGACACGTGTCAGTATAGATGTATGTTCCAATTGTATGCTCTAATCGCTCCAACTGAATAGACGTATGAGCACGTCAAAGCCTCATCATCATCATTTTCAGCACGTTATCTTCATTACTGTAGCTACTTTGCATTGAGCCCCTACTGGTACATTGAAATAGTGATAAACGTTATGATCTCTAACTTCGCAGTGTTTTCTGTTTAAGAAACAAAGCCATTTTAAACACTTATAAATACACAGATACACATAAATTTTATATATATATCTACAATGTGCATGTCTGTGTGTGTGTGTGTTCTGTGAGAAATAGGAAGAACAGAGTTCTGCAAAATAGAACAAGGGAACATGATTACATATAGCTGTCAGGGAAGGCCTGTCTGAGAAAGTGATATTTAAGCTGATACCAGAAATGTGAATAGGTCTAAACCCACCAAATAGGTGGGTGTTGGGAGAGTAAGAGAAAGAATTGCATATTCCTACAAATATCCAGGCTTGCTGACCATTCGAATGTCAGCTAGTTCCATGCAGTGGGTCCCTGACACCCTTCACCACTGTTAATCAGTGTGACAGGGAACTTCTGGCTTTGGGTTAAGGGTGTACCTTGCCCTGATCAAGAGGCAAAGTCATTCTTTTTCAGGGTAGGGTCCCATTCTTTTTCAGAGACGGCCCCTATGGATCTCTTCCCCTTTCCTGTGTGGGATTCTGTTGCATCTGCTCCACCCTCACCTCCCAGATGCCCTGAGTCCTCCCGCAGAAAGCATCACTGCTACCTGTCAGTAGTGCAGACCATCTCACCCTGTCACTGGTACTGACTGAAGATACAACAGGCCCTGGGAGATGTGGCCTGGCAAACTCTTCTTGTCCTCTCTTTCCATTCAGGATAGAAAGAATGAAGAAACAGCCAGGCACTACGTTTTTACAAAAAAGAATGCATTCAAATATTACTTCTGCAATTTTTCTAAAAGTAAAATTAATAGGAGAATAGACCTTGCATCCTACAGTATACCAGTGATTGTTGGTGGAGCCTGGTAAATCCCGTCCAGAGACTAAGGAAGTTTTCCACATTCAGGGAAACTCAGAAGAGTCATGGCCTAGAGACCAAATTCAACTTATTAGTAGCAGAAAACAATTGCAAAGAACATATCCTTCACACACACACAGCCGCCAAACTCAATAGTAATCAACACTGAAGTCAGGAGCATATGGGCAGTTCTTGAGTTGGGAAGGACACAAGAACTGTCTGGGTCCTGAAGCCACCTGCTGTGTAAGTTGCATGGTGACTAGAGAGAATTCTACTATGATACAACACAGAAAACATTTCTCTTCTAAGATGCAAGCACTGTTTCTAACTCCACAAATATGAGTATATATACATTAAGGTTGGAGGTATGCATCCTTCTACGAGCACCCAGTCAAGGCAGCTGCCCCGAATCTTGTGTATTGTAATCTTGGCTGGCCAGAGTCTGAGCCTTCTCAGTGTCTTAGCTTCTGCACCACACTTCCTCAGTGTCCACCCCAGGCTTCCGGACTGGAAGGAAGGGGGCGGGGAATAAAAGTTGCCGGTGAGGCCCGGAAGTCACCACCTGCAGAGCTCCAGCCCGACTTTCCCTGAGCGCTGGGGTCCTGCTGGAACCTCCGCGACAGGATGAGCTCCGCAGCCGGGTCCCGCGCCTCCCGCCCGGGGCTGCTGCTCCTGGGGTTGCTGCTCCTGCCAGCTGTGGTCGCCTTCGCCAGCGGTGAGAGCAGAAGCCAGGCTGTGAGGGCCGGCAGCCGCGAGGGGGGTCCGGGAATCCCTGGGGCTGGGGAGGAGTCCTCTAGGCTCCTGATTGCGGCCACACTTAGCGCGCGCGTGCTGAGTGTGCTGGCACCGTGCCAGGAGCTGCACGGGCACCTCGCCACCTGGTCAGCACAACTTCTCTCCGAGGGAAGTATGATTTATGACTCAGGAGAAGAAGGCTGGAGGTAGTGGAAAAGGTCCCTAAAGTACCTCTGGCCACTCATGGAGTCACCACCCCCTGCTTTCCCCCTCCTCCCCTCCCCTTCCCGCCCAGCTGATGCTGAAGAAGGAGATGGGGACCTGCAGTGCCTGTGTGTGAAGACCACCTCCCAGGTCCGTCCCAGGCACATCACCAGCCTGGAGGTGATCAAGGCCGGACCCCACTGCCCCACTGCCCAACTGGTGTGAGTCCTTACACTGCATCAGTCAGTGCCCCCTTCTGTGACTCCTCTGCCCATCCCATCCCTTCTAATCCCATCTGCAAACCCAAGGCCTGAAAGGCCACTTCTCTTTTCCCTGCCAGAGCCACGCTGAAGAATGGGAGGAAAATTTGCTTGGACCTGCAAGCCCCACTGTACAAGAAAATAGTTAAGAAACAATTGGAGCGTTAGCTACTAGCTGCCTAAGTGTGCACTTTCAATCTAACTGTGAAAGAATCTTCTGATGTTTGTATTATCCTTCTTATATTAAATTAACAAAGTATGTCAGGTTGTGGTATAGTCAATCTATTCTTTAATAATACTGCAAAAAATAATGCTTACACATCACAATTTTATATTTTAAAATTTTCAGAATTTTAAGCAAAAAGCATTATGAAGGAGGGTTTAGTTTAATAAAGACTGATTTTGTTCGGTGTTATATGTTAGCTAATACAAGTTTGTTCATTTCTATGATTTCAGTACTTTATAGCTACATATTTACCTTTTCGTTACAATTAGCTTGCCAATATATTAGTAGCACTTAAGCATTAATTCCTTAACAGTGGAGATATTAAGATTCTGGAAGCTAGGAGAAGTATGAGGTAATATTTTCATTCATCCTTTAGGAAGACATTGCTCTATTTTGGGGAGAAATGAAGGTGTTGTAATGTGGGCATATTAGTTTCCTGTTGCTTCTGTAACAAATTACCACAAACTTCGTGGCTTAACCAACACAGTCTTATTAGCTTGTAATTCTAGAGGTCTCAAGTCCAAAGTAAGTCTTAAAAGTTAAACTCAAGGTGTCCTCAGAACTGTATTCCTTCTGAAGGCTCTAGAAGAGAATCTACTTCCTTTTCTTTTTCACTTGCATTTCTTGCCTCACAGCCCCTCCCCCAATATTCAACCTGCATCACTCCAACTTCCGCTTCTCCTCTGTCTCTACTGACTCTTCTACCTTTTATATCCTGCTTACCTCTCATAAGGAGGCGTGTGACTACATTGAGCCCACTTGGATAATTCAGAAACACTTTCCAACTCAAGATCTCTAATACATCTGCAAAGACATTTTTTTTTTTTTTGCCATGTTAAGCAACATATTCATAGTGTCCAGAAAATAGAACACAAGGATCTCAGGGGTGGGGACATTATTCAGCCTACCGCCATGGACCAGAAGGCGGAACCTACTTGAGGCAGGAGAAAGCTACAGCCCCTTGTTCATGAGCTAGTGCTGTTTTAACCTAATGTGACAATGTGTACAGGTAGAATTAAGATCCATGATAAAATACAGATGATACCATTCAATCTCTGTGGTGGGCTGGAAGGGAGGGAGGTACCTAGGATAACTAATTAAAGTAAACACAATTTATAGATACTTACGAATATCATCTAAAATTTGCAAGTTAGTATTATAGAGATGAGGTGACAGTCTTGGAAAGGACACAGCTTGTCACAGGCTGAGTAGGTCATTCTGACTCCCAACTCCCTGCTCTTGCTTAGAGTATTGTGCTGTCTTTCACACAGGAAAGTGAAATGTTAGCGATTCCATGAACTAGCTCTTGAAGAGGGAATAGGGATTTGTGAAGGGGACCATGGGAAGACTGGAACTGCCTCAAGATAAGTAGAAAGACACAAGATAATTAAGTCATTTGCGTGTTTGAACAACAATTCATAGTTCTGCAGGGTTGGAGTGTCTATGGGGAGAGAGAATGAACAATGGTCTCCAACCAGATTTTGCCCATTTCGTGTTTTATTTTTTGTTTGTTTGTTTTTTTTAATCTCCAGTACAACTTATGTACTACTACCCAAATTATCTTTCCAAAACCCAAATATTTCATTTCCCTGAATAAAATATTCAAGGTCCAAAGTCCTTAGCCTGGCATCCAAGGCTGCACCATACTCACTTTTCCTCTGTGCCTTAATTTTCACCTGTATGAAATGAGGGCATTATGTGTCTACTTTAGGGATTGTCTGTCGTAAGGACTAAACAGATAATATAAGCAAAATATTTGGCATAGTTCTTACTACACAGTCTGAGCTTAAAAATTAACAACTATTAATTGTATTATAGTATTATATTACTAGTGTCAATATTACTCTTAATGCACCATCCCAGTCAGTTTGGAGTGCTAATAATTTTTTTTGTTTTTTTTTTTAGACAGAGTCTTGCTCTGTTGCCCAGACTGGAGTGCAGTGGCACGATCTCAGCTCACTGCAATATCCGCCTTCTAGGTTCAAGCAATTCTCATGTCTCAGCCTCCTGAGTAGCTGGGATTACAGGCAAGTGACATCACACTCAGCTAATTTTTGTATTTTTAGTAGAGACAGGTTTCATCTTATTGGCCAGCCTGGTCTCAAACTCCTGGCCTCAAATGATCAATCTGCTTCAAACTCCTAAAGTTCTGGGATTATAGGCATGAGCCACTGTGCCCGGCCTGAGTAAGGAATTTAACAGATGGTGGATTTTTTGGTAATAAGTAGCAAAAAAAAAAAAAAAAAAAAGAAAGAAAAGAAAAAGAAAGAAAGAAAGAAAGAAAAAAACATTGCAATAGCAATAAAAATTGTTCAATTCAAATAAACTTTGAAGGGGAAAATATTGGAAATGAGATGTGTGTGGTGTGATTTTTTTTTCTAATTTTCCTTTTGTTGTCTGTCTCAAACAACATACTTAGCTATATTTAATAATTTGTAGATTTGACTTTTAAAGGATTAAAAGACGAAAACACATTTTGTAACGTCAAACAATGCTGGAATGCTGATTATATATATATATATATATATGTATATATTTGGCTCACAGTTCTGCAGGCTGTACAAGCATGGCACCAGCGTCTGCTAAGTTTCTGGCGATGCCTCAGGAAGCTTGTACTCCTGGTGGAAGGTAAACAGGGAGCAGGTGTGTGTGATGGATAATACTGATTGTCAACTTGATTGGATCAAAGGATACAAAGTATTGATTCTGGGTATGTCTGTGAGGGTGTTGCAAAAGAAGATTAACATTTGAGTCAATGGGCTGGGAAAGGCAGACCCAGTCTTAATCTGTTTGGGCACAATCTAATCAGCTGCCAATGCAGCTAGAATATCAGCAGGCAAAAAAAAAAAAAAAAAAAAAAAAGTTATAAAAAAGAGACTGGCCTTGCCTCCCAGCCTACATCTTTCTCCCATGCTGGATGCCTCCCACCTTTAAATATTGGACCCCAAGTTCTTCAGTTTTGGGACTCAGACTGGCTCTCCTTGCTCCTCAGCTTTCAGACAGCCTATTGTGAGACCTTGTGATCATGTGAATTAAAACTTAATAAACTCCCCTTTAAATATATATGTATATATATTTAAATATATGTATTTATTTATGTGTATGTCTCTGTGTGTGTGTAAATATATATGTATATATTCCATTAGTTCTGTCCCTCTAGAGAACCCTGACTAATATAGCATGCCACATGGTGAGAGGACGGGAACAAAAGAGAAGAAGGAGTTGCCAGATTCCTTTAAGTAGCCAGTTCTTCTGTGAACTAACAGAGAACTTATTAATTACCATGGGGAGGGAACCAAGTCGTGCATGAGAAATCTGCCCAAACACCTCGCATTAGGCTCCACTTTCAACACTGGGGATCACGTTTCTACATGAGATCTGGAGGGGACACACATTCAACTATATCAAGTTACTGCCTTTATCAGCATGGGCATGGGGAGAGTGCTTTGCTCCTGGGAAAATCCCAAGTGACACAGCAACTCCCTGTTGTTGTTTCAGCATTCATGGAGCGATAAAGATTCAACGTACTTAAACTCCCCTCTAGTTGGAGGTAGTCAGCATAAAATGTCCACAGATGAGGGACTTACCTCATAGTCATGGCATCTATCAATAAAGCAAAACCATCAAAGAACATTTTGACCTTGTAAGTTATTCTGCATTTTTGTTAGTATTGTTTTTTTATTTCCTTCTAATACCTTTGTGGTAAAATAATTTCTTCTGTAATGCATAGAATATTGAAGATTTGGTTGTTTTCAAAGATATATTTATATTTTTCTCATTGTAAAAGACAATGCATGTTCACTATAACAGAAAACAGAGGGAAAAAAATCCTATTTTTTAAAACCTGTAATTTCACCACTCCATCTTATTTTTCTTTTTGGAGATATTAGTCATTTGACACGGTTATAAGTTGAACTGCTAATTTTAAATAAAGTATCACTTATCTGAACACAATCATAAAGAAAACACTAATTATTTAAGCACATTGCAAGTAGTTAGGGAGCATTCCTGTTCCAATTTTACAAATAGGAAACCAAGTTCAGGGTAATAGAATTAGTTTTCTTTGGCCAGAGCATGAATAGCTAACCTATGTGATCTAGCATTCACTTATACATATATGTAGGACCTGTGCTTGTTATATTCACTGGTGTATATGTATGTGTGTATGAATGTAGGTATATATTTCTACACATATGCATATATACAGACTCTCACACACGTAAAACAAGTTCATAATACAATACTTACATTTGCTTTGTACGGTGTGTCCTCATTCTATTCTATTCTATTGTATCCTACCACATTCCATTTCTTAAAAGATGTTGGCCATACCTCTATAAAGTGATTTCATAACCTACTGATGTATCATGATGTGTAGTTTAAAAACACTTCTCCAATTCTTTGATTAAAGAGTTAAGTTCTGATGGTCCATATTGGATTCCACACTCCAGATAAAATGCTTGGAGAGCCAATAGGGGCAGGATACTGAAGCCCAGGGGAAAGTTAAAGCTCCTGGTCTATCATCTTCCTTTAATCTCAATCTCCATCCCTGACCTGGGATTGGAGTCTCAAGGAAACCCATGAAAAACAGCTTCTGTGGTAAAGATGTCACACCAAATAGGATGGTGTCTGGATTGTTGAGATTCTAGGTCATTTTCAGGTGGGACTACCATTTATATTCACTGCCCATCTGCTTCAGCCATGTACCTCCTAACTTGGCCCCAAATGCAAATTGAGTTAAGGATAGAAAACACATCGATTTCTAGGAGGACTTGGATAAAAGCAGCATATTCACACTCAGTGGACTTAACTACCTCTTACACAAAATTATTCTTGTCCTATGGGCCTTTTCCTTATTATTCCTGTAGATGCTGGCATTATCCCAGTGGGCTTTTGAGTAAGACAGTTTGGGTTGCATCTCAGTTTTGACTACATGTGATCCTGGTTCTCCTCAATTCACTTGTCACAAAATGAGGACAATAAAGCCCACCACACAGGGATCTTAAAAGGAATAAATCACTCTTATAATAGGACCCAACATGGGTTTTGACTCAG